ATTTTTTGATGACGGTGTTTGAACATTAATCATACATTACAGGATAGAAATAAATGCAAATTCCAGAAACAATCCTATTTTTGTGATTTGAATTTTCCACTTTAAAAAACATAATTCATCATTTAAAAAGGAAGCCAGTGAAAGTTGGAATATAGAATATATACATATACAACATACAAATACAATTAAATGGTATAAATATACATGGAAAATTCAGGTCCATAGATATTTTCCCAGTGTGACATTTGATATGACATAAAGAACATATGGAGAATTTAATTCTGTTGTTATTTCAGTCCCCAAATGACAAGAAAATTGATTATGAAAGAGAGAGAGACAATTTAACTGCATGTTAAGTATTTTACATCAAAGAATTTACTTAACATCCTAATGTCACACATACTACAGATATGTATATTCTTATTAGTCTTGATAAACTATGCATAATCTAAATATTTATCCAGACGTGTCAAGAATATGGAGTCCTGTAAATCTCATCAATCTCTAAAATATTGGAAAAAAGTTGGAAATTTTTTTTAGAAAAGGACTGAAGGTCTATCGTGTTCATAATCAGAGGATAATGCAGCTGCTTACATAATTCTTTTTCAGAGCTTTTATTTCTTCCTCATGCTTTTTCTTCAAGACCTCAATTTGTTCTTTGAGAGATTTTTCCTTGTGACTGGAGAGTTCATCCAACTGTTTGTAATCTTTACTGCGTCTGTCCTCTGTCTGCTGCATTTCTCTCTCATGTTGTTGTTTCAGTTCTTGTATTTGCTCCATGTGTTTTTCTACCAGAGCTGTAAAGTCTTTGGTGTATTTCTGTCTGAACTCGTTGAACTCTTCAGCCTGTTTTCTGGCTGCTTCTTCATATTTCTTCTTCATTTCTTTCAGTTTTTTCTTATATTTTTCCTCCAGTTCTTCCCGCTCCTTCTCCTCTTGCTCTCTTCTCATTCGATCCTCATCTTTTCTCTTCTTTTCATATTTTTCTCTTTCCTGATCATATTCTTCTTGCAGTTTTCTAAGTTTTGCTTGTTTCTGTTCATTTTCTTGATGTCGCTTGTCCCACCACTCACTCCTTTCCTTTTCCCACTTCTCTCGTTCTTTCCTCATCTCTTCTCTGCTTTGTTCCAGCTGTCGGTCAGTTATTTCCTTTTCCTTTGATTCTGCCTTTAATTTTTTCTCCAGATTTATACGCTTTTGTTCCAACTCTTGTTGTTGAAGTTCATCTTGTATTTTTCTTTGGTGGTCCTCTGCTTCTCGCCTTTCCTGTTCTCTTTTTCTCTGTTCACGTTCATCCTTTATGTTATCCTCCATTTCTTTAAGTTGTTTTTCTATCAGTTTTCTCTCCTGTTCAGTTTCCGCTAATTGTTCTTCCATTCTTTTTTCCATTGCTTTTATTTGTTCCTCATGTTTTTGTTCAAGCTCTTCTTTCTGTCTCTTCATCTCCTCTTCCTTCTCTTTTAGGATCCTCTCCACTTCCTTCTTTATTGCCACCTCAGCCTCT